TAAGTAGTGTGTGTGTGTGTGTGTGTGTGTGTGTGTGTGTGTGTGTGTGTGTGTGTGTGTGTGTGTGTGTGTGTGTGTGTGTGTGTGTGTGTGTGTGTGTGTGTGTGTGTGTGTGTGTTGCGTGAAGGCTCTCTCGTGAATAACAGTGTATTCGATGTTGTGGGTCCATTACTTCATGATGTACGAGGTCAGAAGAATAACAAGAGAAAAGACAAGAGAACAGAATGATATCCAAGCATGCAAGCAAGCAAGCAAACAAGCAAGCAAGCAAGCAGCCTGGCGCACAAGCCATTCGGGTAACACACACACACACATAAGCCGACACGCTTGCAACCTCGCATGCGTGCACGCAATTGAAAACATCAGTCATGTGCACCCTCGTGTGCAGCTGTGGTATCGCCTTACTCAGTCTGCTGCTGATGCTGTTGCTGCTGATGATGTTGTTGTTGCTGTTGCTGTAAGGGGTCAGCCGCTGCCGCGACCAGCTTGTCCCGGAGTTGCTGCTGAAGATCAGGAAGCAGGCGTTGGATGTGCTTGTACTCGTCCCAAGCGCCGTCATGGAACAGCACAGCGGCGACACTCACGTCCCCTGTCCGCTTCAGTGCATACGCCAACTTGCGCTTGCCGAGTGCAAACACGACGGGAATCTCGTGCTGGGCTGCAGTCGACACCACCCGCTCAACCGCCTCATCCAGCCCGTCTGCACGCGCGCGTGTTGTGTGTGTGTATGTGTGTATGTGTGTATGTGTGTGTGTGTGTGTGTGTGTGTGTGTGTGTGTGTGTGTGTGTGTGTGTGTGTGTGTGTGTGTGTGTGTGTGTGTGTGTGCGTGTGAGGGGAGCGGGGGAGCGGGAGGTGGGAACGTTGAAGGAGAGGAAAGTTGGGCAAGGGGTGTGGGGTGTGTGGAGGGTGGTGACGGACTTATGGGTTGAAAATGGATACTTAGACAGACAAACACACACAAGCAGGTCGCGAAAAGGACAGACAAATAAACAGGTGAGTAGTCCCGCCGGCACACATCAGCGTACCCCCCCCCCCCCACACCCACACCCAAATGCACACCACACCACACCACATCACACACCTTTGCCTGGGTGGCGCTTGATGTCTGGCGCGAGGATGACGAGCGACGGCTTTGCGGCATCCAGCTTGATCTGCACTTCATGAAACCCCATGCACAGTCGCTTCTTCATCGCCACCTGCCACAAGCACCACACAAGTGTGAGCAACAGCCAAGCGAGGGACAGTGACCCCCTCCCCCACATTTGAGCGGTGATGGCGATAAACGCAACAGCTCGTCACGCAGCAGACGTTAACACACTGCCGACATTAACACGCTGCACACATTAACGCACTGCACACATTAACGCACTGCACACATTAACGCACTGCCGACAATGACTCGAAGCAACGCGCGTGTTAGGATGTGGCTTGCTCACCGATCCCTGCTGGCGCTTCTGGAACTTGAGCAGTTTCTGCAAACACACATGTATGCATGCGAGGGTGGTGGGAAAGGAAAAGCACAGTGGCAGCGGTGAAGAAGGTCAGATGGAGGTGGAATTCATCCACACACACACACACACACACACACACACACACACACACACACACACACACACACACACACAGGCGCAGACACTGACACAGACAGCACAACACGCAACGTATAAAGTGCAAAGCATCTCGTGTCACCTTGAACATGGCAGCGACGGTTTTGTCCAGCTCCTTGCTGAGGGCGTGTGTGCAGTATTCGCGAAACTTGTTGCTGTGCACACCCGTAACGATGGGCCAGCGTGCGCCAGAAACGTCACGTACTACCGGTTGCTGCTGCTTGTGTTGTTGTTGTTGTTGTTGTTGTTGTTGTTGTTGTTGCTTGCTGGTCTGCTGCGTCGCCATTGCCGGTGCCGAGCACTCGTCCTCATCCTTGATGACGGCTGATGGCACGACCACCTCGCTCTTCACTACCGCCGCTGTGGCTGCTGGTGGGCCTGTGTCAGAAGTTCCCACTTGTTGCGTTGTGGCACCGGAAGCACTGGCAGAACGCGCAATGCTGCTGCTGGTGGCGGTGGCGGTTGCAGTGGATTCTGCTTTCTCCTCGTCTTCTTCTGCAACTTCTTCTTCTTCCTTGATCTTGACCAGGACATTGCTCCCTGTTTTGCGCTTGACAGCATCAGCATCATCAGCATCAGCGCCAACTCCACCACCACCACCACCATCACCACCAGCAATGCGCAGTGCGTCCATGTCGGCAGCAAGCTGCTCGAGCGTGGCAGCAACAGCGGCTGCGCGGTGGCGGAGGAGGGCGCGCCTGATACGCGTTGGCCGCTTCCGTCGCTGGCTGCTCTTCACCTGCACAGGGATGAGTGAGTGAATGAGTGAGTGAGTGAGTGGGTGGGTGAGTGAGTGAGTGAGTGAGTGAGTGAGTGAGTGAGTGAGTGAGTGAGTGAGTGAGTGAGGAGGGACGTGGTTGGCAAAGCAAAGCACACAAAGCTGCATCCCATTATACGGCCGTGTGCTGTGTGGCGCTGTAAGTGGTTGTGATTCCTACTCACCACGCCCCTCTTCTGGCGCGGCGCTGTGGAGTCCAGTGCGTTGAATTTGCCCCTGCGGTCACGTGTTGGCGGCAGCCAAGACAACAGCAGCCGGTGCACCAGGGTGAATGCATGCCATGCATTCAAACAAGGAGACAAGGCGAGGACAATAAAGAGACAGAGATTGAGACAGAATCACGTCGGCAGCCAGACAGGCAGGCACATGGAGAGGCAGACACACACACGCACACACACACACAGACACAGACACAGACACAGACACAGACACACACAGACACAGACACACGCAGACACACACACCAACCTGTGTCGTTCGCTTGATCCGGGGGTGGTGCTCTTGCTCTTCTGGACACGCTTGCGAGAGGCGGATGTGCGCGAACTGGGCGATGGGCCCATGCCCACATGAAGTGTCATGGCCTTCTTCTTCTTCTTCTTTGATGAAGACTGGGATATGAGAACACGTAGCATCTCTAGACACGCAAGCAGGACATCAGCGATGGTGTGAGCATGTCATAGGAACGCAGACACAACAAACCGCAAAGGGAGTGAAAGCCAGTCACACCCACAGCACACACACACGCACACACACACACACACACACTCACTTGACAAGTCAACGTCGATGGCACCAGACTTGGGAATGGGCCGACTGCGCTGCTGCTGCTGCTGCTGCTGTTGTTGTTGTTGTTGCTGTCGCGTCTTGCCTTTGGCTTTGGCTTTGGCCTTGGCCTGCACCTTGTGGTGTAACTCATCTTGTTGTGAGGAGGATATGGCCGTGCGTGTGGATGGGGCCGATGGCACCTGCTCCCACCTCCTCGGAGTCAGCTTTGCCTCTGATGGCGGAGCACTGCTCGGCGCTGACCTGGCCGGAGACTCTTGCGCTGCACTGTTACCTGCTGACAATGCGGTGCGCGTTTGGGGTTGTGTTCTCTGAGGCTGGCGGTCCTTCAGTTCCGCCGTCTTGGTGCGTTGCTGCTTCAGCTGATGTGTGTTGGTGGTCCGTGTGCCCCTCTGTGAGGGCTTGCCTCGTGTCGTTGTCCCATTGTGGCTGCTGTGCCAGCTGCCTGAAGCCCTTTGTCCATCAGTGTCGCGGCTGTGTTGTTGCCGCCCATGTCGGCTCGTTTGTAGTGTCTGTGCTTTGGATGCCTTCGCCTGATTCAGCCGCCGCCCTGCCGCTGAGTGCTTGGCAAGCGACGCCCCACGCTGCCCCTGCTGTTGCCTTGCCTGCTGTGGGTGCTGCCTCTGAGGCTGCTGAGACCTCTGGGGGCGATGTGGCTGGCGGGCACTCTCTGGACCGACGTGACCGCGGTCACGGTGTTTGTGCGGCGGCTTCTTCTTCCTCGGCTCCTGCCACCCGTCCGCCACCACACGACCAGCGCCGCGCGCGCGTTCACCGCGTGCTGTTGATGGCCCCTTGTCCCCCTTGTCCCCAGCAGCATCAGCATCAGCTGCAGCATCAGTTGCAGTAGGCCGGCGACGGCGCTGCTCACCGCCGTTAGCACTGCGGTTCCGGCCCATGATGATCCCAGGTCACCAACAACAACAACATGGATGATGGATGGTCGGTCGCTTTGCTGTTGCTTGTGTGTTTTGTGTCCTGTTTGTGCGTGCTGTGCGTGCTGCTTGCTTTGCTTCTGGTCCCTTTCTTTGTTGTTGTTGTTTGCACTGGCAAGATGTAACGCTGGTGTGGCGAGGGGTAAGAACGGAGGCACGACCACAAAGGGGAACGAGCAAAGCCAACAAGCAAGCAAGCAGGCAGGCAGGCAGGCAGGGAATGAAAGAGACAGGAAGCAGTCGCAGGAGCCAGCAAGAGGAGGGAGCAAGAAGGAACCAACAGGAAGTAAGAAGAAGTAGGAAACAACAGAAGAGCAGTCATGTCAACACAGGCAGACACAGACACACACACAGACACACACAGACACACACAGACACACAGACACAAACACACACTCACACAGACACACAGACGCACAAACACACACTCACACAGGCAGACACAGACACAGACACAGACACACAGACACACACACACACACACACACACACACTGCGAGCCGAGATCAAATCCAGCGTGGCTTGCAGGCCAGGGTGAGTTTCTGGACGCAGTTGCCGGGGGTGAAGGAGAAGGTGGCAGTGTTGGACGAGGACACGGAGAAGGACGTGAGGCCGCCATTGCACCCGCTGCTTCCGGCGTTGATGTCAATCAACTCCTTGATGATGTGGGGGTAGTTGGGATTGGTCGTACGAACATACAAGTTGACGGTAATGGTGAAGCGACGGCCGGTCCAATGAGCTTCGTTGTTGGTGCGCAGGACGCAGTCGTACACGCCAGGGCTCATGCCTTGTCTGCGCAGGTCGTCGAAGATGTCGCGTAGGCTGTACGTGTTTGCGGAGCTTGTCTGCCACAACACCTGCGGCTTCACGCGGTCCACCTGCGTTGTCAGGCCTTCCACGGCCGTGTGGACGTTCTCCGTCGCCATGCTCACGTCTCCAATGTCGTTCACCACGTCCGTGATGCGGCTGTCCAGTCCGGCGTCCCGCTGCTCCGCTTCATCGCGCACGTTGCTGACCATCTCCAGCGCACCGATGAGGGCGGTGTTCTGGCGCGCAACTTCTGCGCTGAGGCGAGCAGCCTCACCCTCGGCGTCCGAGAGGTTAGTGCGGAGCCATGCGGCCTCTTGGCGCAGGGAAGACACCTCCACTTGCAGGGATTGGGCGGCAGTGTCCTGCTGCAGGCGCAGCTGCCGCTCGTGGTCGAGCGCAGACCGCAGGCGTGACAGCTCGTCTTGCAGCGTGGCGTTGAGCGCGTCCGTGGCCGCGCTTGTCACTGCGCGGGCCTGGCTCTCCGCCTGAGACCGAACGGTGCTCAGTTCTTCCGTAAGCTGGGTTGTGAGCGCTGCCAGCTGTGACGCCATTGCCCGCATGCTCACCTCTTCATACCCGCTGTTGTCGTTGTCGTTGTTGTTGTTGTTGTTGTTTTCGTTGTTGTTGTCTTGGTTGGCATTGGCAATCTTGAACGTTGCATCTCCGTTGGCGCTCAGCAAGAACACCAGCGACCCGTTGCGTGCTTCAATGCTCGGCGCCTCATTGTTGTTGTTGTTGTTGTTGTTGACATTTGTGGCGGCGGTCACAGCGACACACGCCAATGCAATCACAAGCCCAAGACACCAGCAGCGACACGCAACCATGATCAGCACACAGCAACAACAAACAAAGCTAGCGGAAACTGAAGTCAGTCGCGGCAGTGCTGCACAACCCTGCTGATGGTTTGCCTTTTGTGTGTGTGTGTGTGTGTGTGTGTGTGTGTGTGTGTGTGTGTGTGTGTGTGTGTGTGTGTGTGTGTGTGTGTGTGTGTGTGTGTGTGTGTGTGTGTGTGTGTGTGTGTGTGTGTGTGTGAGCTGGTTGTAGGTCAGGCAACATGTAAAGTGAAAAGACGCAGCCGCACACACACACACACACACAGACGCACACACACACACACACAGACGCACACACATACACACGCACAGACACACGCAAACACTCTCCTCACCTGTAGAGGTCTGGATGAGTTCGGAGGTGTGAGACGTGGGGAGAGTCTGCGAAGCGAACAAGGTCCACAGGTGCGCCGTTGGGGCGTGTGGATCGTCTCTCCTGCCGCTCAGCGACCAGCGCCTGCAATGCAGGAAAGTCCATCAACTTGTCCACCTCCGACACCAAATATGCCTCCATCACCTGCGCACAAGGGGAGGTTCAGGGTGTTTGCAAGGGAGAGTGAGTGTGAATAGGAGTGAGGTGAGGTGTGAGTGGATGGGAGATGAGACTGGATGGGGGGGGGGAAAGGCGAATGGTACAGCTGTGATGGGCAGGAAAGGGGAACGCAGCGATGGGCAAGTAGAAGAATGTTGCATGAACCGTGTCACACACACAAAGCTACACACACACACACACACACACACACACACACACACACACACACATAGAGCTACACACACAGACACAGACACACACACACACATAGAGCTACACACATAGACACAGACACAGATAGACACACACAGATAGACACACACAGACAGACAGACAGAGACACACACACACACACACACACACAGCGCCGCGTACGTGGTCGCCCAGGTCCCAGTCACGCATGGCATTCCAGAAGGCGGTTGGTGTCTGGCGGCTCCAGGGCGCAAGGGTGAGGGCGAAGAGCGTGAAGCCCACAAACACGAGGCCATACATGATCGGATTGGTCACTTGCAGGGCCATGGACAGCGCCCTGCGCAATAGAAGCGGCGTGGGTGCAGTGAGCTTTGCTTGAAGAGATGGGTGGCTGTTTACTTGCTCGCGTACAATGATGTGAGAATGTCATTCCATCACG